AAAATTCTTCACCGACGGATCTGTGGGACCTTCTAATGATTCAGGCTTCGGTGTATTTTCTCCAGACCTCAATTACGTGTTTTCAAGCAGACTACCTCAACATACACAAATATGTACTGCAGAAATTATTGCAATTAACCATGCCTTGCAAATCATTTTAGAAAAAAATATATTGAACTCAGTTATCTTCTCGGACTCCAAATCTGCTTTACAAAAAATTATAAATATGAAATTCTCTACAGAAACTGATCATTGCTCCTTTCTAACAAAACAAGGTATCTTACTTGCTAATATGAATAACATCCACATCACTTTGGCATGGATTCCAGGTCACTCCGGCATTATTGGCAACCATAAAGCCGATCAATTAGCAAATATAGGCAGAATCCTTAAAATTCCTTTAAATATTAAACTCAATAAGTCTAACTTTTTACCCTTCATTAAACAAGAAATTTGGAACAAATGGCATCAACAATGGAATTCACTAAAAGAAAACAAAACATCTTTTTACTTCCAAGTGGTTCCTAAAATACCCAAAACTCCGTGGTTCAATAGTAAACAATTCTATGAAAGAAGGTACCTTTCCACAATCATACGGATGAGAACTGGCCATTGTCTAACCCCATATCATTTATTTCGAATTGGTATTAAAGATGACCCATTTTGCGAGTGTGGAGAAGTTGGATCGTTAAATCACATCATCTTAGAGTGTCCCATTAATAAATCTCCCCTTTTTGATGTATATTTGGAACTAACGAAGGCTGGTTTATCAGCCCCATTTGATATTCGATACATCTTGTCTCATTTGGATGACAGAAGAATAACCACCCTTTCTAAATTTCTAAATTTCTTTAAAATCATTATCTAGTAGAATCAAATCAACTATATCTGGGTAAATTGTTCGCAGTAACATAGCCCAAAAAAAGAAAAGAAGAAGAAGTCCAGATTGTTCGAGAAGGTTGTAGAAGGTCGAGGCAAGCTATATAAGGCGACGACCTGACGTCAGTTGGCAGTTTTATGATAGACGTTAAACTTTAATGTTATCAGTTAGAGTTATTGTGCCAGTTGAATTGAGTTATTGTAAAAGTTGAATTTTCAATAAACTGTGATACTAAAAAACCAGCGTAACAATATTTCTCACCATCTTTTGTTATTTTACTATGGTCAACTAAAAAAATTGTTGTTATGTCAATACCAATATAAAAAAGAACAGAATTTAGAAATGTATGACAATAAAAATATTTAAAATTGTATTAGTTGAACTAATGTGGTTTTTTCGATAGTAATTTTGGAATAGGAAGGTCTAGTTTTTAAATTTTTGACCACAACTAACTTATTGCTTGAGAATTAAGTTTTATACCAATTAATATACCTACTGATTCGTCAGTTTTATTTAACGTATTGTTTATAAGCCTGTTATTTGTAATGGAAAATCCATCACATTATACAGGGTGTAACTAAATAACACCGAAAAAATTAAAGGGGTGATTTTGTGATGAAAATTAATGTGAGTGTTTGGTATAAAATTTTTTGAAAAAACCCTCCCCGGAAAAGTTACAGCCCTTCGAAAATAAAAAAAAAAATATAATAGTTTTTCTTTTTTATTTTCCCTGTATATCAAGCTAAAGACACAAAACTTGGTAAACATTATCTGTCAATAAAAGTACACTTTTTGAAATTTTTTCAACCCTGAAGTATGCTTAGAAGGGGTTGAAATAATCAACCCCTAAGATATTTTTTCTTACAACTTTTTTTTAGATGAAATTTTTTTTCTAAAACTTGAGCATTTACGAGAAAAAAAATCTAATGCAATGCATTTTCAAATAGATGAGCTAACGCGAGTGTATTTTGCGTCAAGTCTAGTGGGCTGTGCTTAGCATAAAAACATTAATACTGATACCAGGATTGTGTAGTGTCATTTTCTGTTACCCATCTTATTGTTTCACAAGTTTTATGATTGTGTATTGTAGGAAATATTAGTTGATTGAAAATATGAATGCATATTCGAATTTGGAAATGGCAGATATGCATTTTACATACGGTCGTGCTAACGGTAATTCATTGGAAGCGCAAAGACTTTATGCTGAACAGTACCCACAGCGTAGACTACCCCATCATACTACGTTCACAACTATTCACCGACGCTTGCGGGAACGTTGTAATTTTGAAAAAAGAAGTTATGATTCTGGTCGTACTAGAGAAGTTAGAACTGCAGCTGTAGAAGAAGCCGTACTTAATTCAATTGAAGAATTCCCAGAAACTAGTACCAGGAGAATAGCTCGTGTCCTACATGTAAGCCATTCCGTTGTTTTTAAAATTTTAAAAGAACAAATGTTGTATCCCTATCATCTTCAACGGGTGCAGGCGTTAATGATTCGAGATTTTTTACCCCGTGTGATTTTTTGTCAGTGGCTTATTAATATGATTGGCCAAGCATTACAGTTCTTAGGTAATATTTTATTTACTGACGAGGCGAGTTTCTCAAGAGACTGTATTAGAAATTTTCACAACAATCACCTTTGGGCTGACGAAAATCCTCATGGCTTTTTTGAAGGAAATCATCAGTATCAATTTTCATTAAACGTGTGGCTCGGAATTATTGATAATCATTTAATTGGTCCCCATTTTCTTCAGCTACGATTAAATGGTGAAGCATATTGTCATCTCCTTGAAGAATTACCTGTTCTTCTTGAAGAAGTTCCCATTCAAATTAGGCAACATTTATGGTTTATGCACGATGGTGCACCAGCTCATTTTAGTATACGTGCAAGAACTCACCTGGATGAGGTGTATGCCAATCAATGGATAGGTCGAGGAGGACCTGTAAACTGGCCAGCCCGCTCCCCTGACCTTAATCCTTTGGATTTTTGCAAACCGCATTGTAGGAGGGTGTGAAACTATAAGAAATTCTCCAGGAATATTTCATCGTATACGCAATTCTATGAGGAAAAGGGTAGATGCTTGTATTGAAGCTGAAGGCGGTCATTTTCAACATTTATTATAATTGTGTTATCGATATTCGACAGGTTTTTGTTAATTGTTTGTTCACTTTTGTTTTTAGTTGTAGAAGTCTTAAGAATCATAATTTGGTTGGCTGTTGTTTAATAAAATGCTATTTTACATGAGCTTATTTATTTTTTTTCTCATAAATGCTTAAGTTTTCGAAAAAAAAACTTGTAGAGATAAAAAAGGTAGTCAATGAATTGGGCTTTTCAGTCATACTTTTTTAGAGAAAAAATTTTCATCTAAAAATAAAGTTATAAGAAAAAATATATTAGGGGTTGATTATTCCAACCCTTTCTAAGCATACTTCAGGGTTGAAAAAATTTTAAAAAGTGTACTTTTATTGACAAATAATGTTTACCAAGTTTCGTGTCTTTAGCTTGATATACAGGGAAAATAAAAAAGAAAAACCATTTTTTTTTTAATTTTCGAAGGGGTGTAACTTTTCCGGGGAGGGTTTTTTCAAAAAATTTTATTCCAAACACTCACATTAATTTTCATCACAGAATCACCCTGTATAATCATGTATTTTACTATAATTTAAAACTTTCAAAATATTATCAATAATTATTAAAGAAAATAGTATTTCACGCAAATAATATATTATGATATTTGGAACTTTATCCTACGAAGGACCTTAACGTCAAATTACTGAAATAAATATTATTATAAAAAAATGTTATAAACTTTTTGAAAGCTTTGGTATAACCTTCGTATCAAAATATGCAATGTTGCTAATATATTAATCAATATTATTATGTTGTGTACATAATTTTGTTACACCGGGTATTCCTATGTCACAATGTATCAGAAACTTGCAACAAAACCTAAAAATAGAAAACCAAGAGATTTTATTATTCGAGTAAATCTATAATGAAATAATAAGGAAACTGTTAATAAAAATTAATTTGTTTTGATGTGATTTTTTATATTTTATTTGTAACCCGAATTAACCAAAAAAAGTATATCATACTTTAGAGTTTTGTTTTGTCTGGGGTTTTTTATATTTTTAATTTGTTTTATCTATTTGTTGACCTTTATATTATAAGCCTGACATCATCGTGATGAACTCTCATATCATCTGCGTTGAGATTTCCTGTCACTTGCTTTATTTTCTATTTTTATTATTTTCGATACAGAATCTTTTGAAAATGACCTTTCTTTCGCTTATATACATAAAATAATATCAACATATGCAATTTTATATTTATATATCTCAGAATAAATTTGATTATAACCAATTTTGGACCTTAAATCTCAGTATTGCTTTGATGGAAACATATAACCAAAAACATCTTTAAAAAAATGTTATTATCAATACAACTAAATCAAGATATTTAAATAAAAAAATAAATATCTACTTTATACCTACTTCTAGGTTCAGGTTGCCATATTTTGTGACATTATAAAATTAATTATAGTTAAAAATCTGGTACTATCCCGTTTACATATAATTTTCTACAAAAGTACCATCTGTATTTTTTTTTTAAATATTTTCGGAAAAATAAGATATTTTTAAAGTATAATTAATTTACTTGAGAGCTATAATAAAGTTTACAAGGCTAATGAAGAGGCGATGGGAAACAATATCAAAGCCTCCACAGAACACACATTAATAAAAAATTATATCACAAACTGAGACTGCCATATTAGGTGTATACCTAGGCAACTAGAAATAAAAAAAAAAATTTGACAGTTGTTTAGGGACGATGACCCCCTCGAAAAAGCTGCAAAAATCGAGAATAAAAGATTGCCTCTACCTCTTCTTTATTAGTCATTGTATTCTAACACTCCGTATAAAATTTCATGAAAAAATGTTAAACGGTTTAAAAGCAACGTTAAAAAATATTTATTTAAATTTTTAGCTTTTTGTGTGTGCAATTTTGTACATACGTAAGTAAGATTCAATCGACCTATTTTTAATATAAGAACATGTGGTACCTATAATGTATATCTAATCTTTTTGATATAATAAAATAAATTTTAAATTGACTTACCTTTGGCTTTGTCGCTTCCATCTTGCCGTTGTATTGATATCTTCTCTATTGAAATTCTCTAAAATATGGCTATTTACGAAACCTGAAACAATTAGATATCCAAATAGTGATTTTAATCATGAATACATTCTCAGTTTCAAAATTTGCATGCATGAATTTACTCCATACTAGTAAGAGACTAATTAGATTAATGTATTTAGAAAATATTTGAATATTTTTCTTTTTGTTTTATATCATTTGCCTTGGTATCAACTATGTTTAATGATTATTAACCTCTGTTTCCGTATGAAGAAAGAATTTAAGTAGAGAGATAACAATAGTATATTACACACCGAGATGGGAAGAGTTTCATTCCTGTCGTGAGATTAGTTATCGAGACGCGAAGCGTCCAGGTTAGCTATGATCTCGAGACAGGAATGAAACTTCCTACCGAGGTTTGTGTATTATTTTATTTACAACCATCATATTCCGATCAAAGTTAATGAATCTCTGTTTCGTTCTGAACATACCTAAAATATTACATTAAACGACAAATTACCAAGCGCGCGGTTTTCTCAGAATAATCAAGTAAATATATGGTTACTGTGATTACGGGGTAAACAACTGTCACCAATATAAATCAATGTCAGATAAAGCCGGATATTAAATTCGCGAATAATAAATATCAATAAGTAGTTTGTTGTATTTTAGTTCATTGTTGTTTTTTATTGTTTGCCATTAAACAGGTATTATAAAATTTGTCAAAAAAATGTGTTATTTTTTTTAAATATAAAAAATATTCATCTAGAATAGATGAAATGAGGGCGGGAAGTAGAGGTGTGTAATGTGACACTTCCCAACCTTCAATGACGTTAGTAATGACAACATTACATATATGGTTGTAAATAAAAATAATTTATCAACCTGTTAAGCTGTCTTCAAACCACAGAATATTATAAAACACAGAATAACCATACTAAACCAGCGAGTACCTGGTAAAACACGCATGGTAGATGCCAGGACATAATTAAATTTTTGTATAAAAATTATTTAACTTTTGTAAAATCCCAATACCCCCATTTTAGATAAATTAAGTAAACAACATATTTTCAGAAAACATTTTTTACAAACAATATATTTTGTAATAATCGGGAATCTCTTTCAAATTCAAGAGACGCTAAAATGGTGGTTCCCACCTTATCGAGACTGAGGCCTACAAGGGTAAACTCGTAGCGTAACAAAAAAAGAAATGATTTAACTTGGAACGAAATACCGAAAGCCGATAGTAGTATTAGCACATTGAATTTTTTGGTTTGTGAAGCATTGGCATTACATAGGCTAAACCATGTGATGATTTTCACAAGCCTTGATTTTTAAAACCATTCTATATCGCCTTTCGATTAGGGTTTAAAAACTTGTTCCAGCAATTTATTCTACACATTTCAGTGTTGATGAAAAAAATCTCAAAAATCAGAAATCGAAAAATTTCTCAAAAAATAAAAATTGGAAAAAATTTAGTAAAAATTTTTTATAAAAAAATTAATAAATTTTGGGCAACAAAAAATTTTCAGAGGGGATCTTCTACACTTTTCAGTGTTGATGAAAAAAATCTCAAAAATTAAAAGTCGAAAAAATTCTCGAAAAATAAAAATTGGAAAAAATTTGGTAAAACTTTTTTATAAAAAAATTAATAAATTTTGGTTGACAAAAAATGTTGAGAGGGGAGAGTCTTCTACACATTTCAGTGTTGATGAAAAAATCTCAAAAATTAAAAGTTGGTAAAAATTTGGTAAAATTTTTTTATAAAAAAATTAATAAATTTTGGGTAACAAAAAATGTTAAGAGAGGGTAGTCTTCTACACATTTCAGTGTTGATGAAAAAAATCTCAAAAATCAAAAGTAGAAAAATTTCTCGAAAAATAAAAATTGGAAAAAATTTGGTAAACTTTTTTTATTAAAAAAATTAATAAATTTTTAATAACAAAAAATTTTTAGGGGAGTCTTCTACACATTTCAGTGTTGATGAAAAAAATCTCAAAAATTAAAAGTCGAAAAAATTCTCGAAAAATAAAAATTGGAAATATTTGGTAAAACTTTTTTATAAAAAAATCTGATGTGTCCTACACATGACTTTCCTATCTAGTTATTATAGGCTTTTCAGGTTATTTTGTACAACCTATTGCAGCACCTCTATAAATGTTTAGAGGATACACTAAATATATACATTTTCCACATTCATTGAAAACGAAAATACTGAAAAATTTAAATTTAACACTTTTCCTACAATTTTTCCATTACGGTCCATTTTAGAAAAATTATGTATAAACAAAAATTATAGAGATCGATATGCAAACAACTTTTAGTTCAACAATTTTCATAAAAATCAGAATTTTGCACATTTTGTCAAATGTCTCGAATACGGACCATTTCAGGAAATTTTGATATAAGGCAAAAATTATATATAATAATATTAGAAGTAACTTTTATTTGAACAATTTTCTTCTCCAAACATAAATAACAGATATATTCCATAAAATATAAAAACGGCCTCCCATTAAGTACCCCCCCAGATGTTCCGACTTTGTCCAAAATCTAATCATTTTACGTCAGGCCGAAATAAAACTTAAGTTTCAAATTTAATGTTTTTTCTTTATCCGTTTTTGAGTTTTCTTCAAAATTCGAAATTTACACATTTTTTCAAATATCTCGAATACGGTCCACTTTAGAGAAATTATGTATAGGATAAAAATTATAGAGAATTATATAACAAACAACTTTTATTTTAATAATTTTTATAAAAATATTTTTTTTACATTTTGTCAAATTCTCGAATACGGACCATTTTAGGAAAATTTTGTATAAAACAAAAATTATAGACAATAATATTAGGAGTAACTTTTATTTAAAAATTTTTCTAGGAAAGTAAAAATCTGATGTGTCCAACACATGACTTTCCTATCTAGTTATTACAGGCTTTTTCCGGTTATTTTGTACAACCTATTGCAGCACCTCTATAAATGTTTAGAGGAGGATAAACTAAATATATACATTTTCCACATACAACTATCTCAAAACATTTTTCTATAGATATTCATTGAAAACGAAAATACTGAATAATTTAAATTTAGCACTTTTCCTACAATTTTTCCATTACGGTCCATTTTAGAAAAATAATGTAAAAACAAAAATTATAGAGATCGATATCGCAAACAACTTTTATTTCAACAATTTTCATAAAAATCAGAATTTTGCACATTTTGTCAAATTTCTCGAATACGGACCATTTCAGGAAATTTTTACATAAGGTTAAAATTATAGGTCCCGGCAAGTGGCAAAAAACAAGAAAATAAAGTGTTTTTCAAGGTTATTTAAAAACGATAGGTGCTATAAAAAAGAGTTCTTAATAAAAATTGTAAAGAATAAAGTTTTACCTAAAAATGATATTTGTAAATTTAAATTGTCATAACTTAAAAAAAAACAAATGAAAAAATTTCCTTCTCTAAAATGAAAGTTTACATTTTTCTAAGTAAATAATAATAAGAAAATAAAAAAATGATTGAATTTTCAGCTCATATAAATGTCCTCCTAACTTCTAAATACCCTAACTCTGTTAGTTTTAATAATTGCAAAAAATCATACCCCCCCCGCGCACCCCCCCACAGAGCCACCCCCGTGCATCCCCGGATAATTCTATTGCCAGAATCGAGTTCGACAGCCCCGAAAATCCCTGAGTAACGATTTCCGGGCGATTTTTCCGAGTTTCCAGTCGTTCCTATAATGGTGCAAGTAATGATGCAATTGGAAAATGCATTTTCCGGCCCAAAAATGCCCTGAACTATTAAGGATTTTCTAATATAAAATTGTATTTATATGTTGCCACTGGGAATACTTCGTGATATTATGTGTCTTGACAATATTAAGAGCTTTAAATTTGTGCAACGATAAGGCAGTACTCTACAAAGACGTTTAAGAAAAAAAGGTAAAAAAGCATATCCTTTAAAAACTACTAGATATTTATTAAAAAAAGCAGCAAATTTTCACAGATGTAATACAGAATGGTCTGGAAATGTTTTTTTTTTTAATTTGCTTTAAACATTGGTTACATTCGACTTAAAAGACACACGAATTTCAAAAAAAAAATTGTACTATTAGAAAGTAAAGAAGTTATATATCATGACAATTAAAAAAATTTTGGAGATTATCCACGATTAAGCGAGTAATTTAATATTAAAATCTCAAAAATTGCACATTTTTCATCAAATACTTTGACTTATGTGTACAGGGTTGCCAAGTATTTTAATATGTAAAAAGATATAATTAATTGGTAAACTCGTAAATTATTATACTTTTATGATTTATTTATTTAAATAAAAATAATAGAATTTTGTGATAAAATACCAGAATCTGTATCAAACATCGCTCCCCGACCCCTAACACAGATCAAAGAATAATATCAGTTCATATCAGCTCATACAATTGTTTATAAAATTAAACAGGAATCCTTTGTAAGTTTTTATAACTTACTGACATTTCACATGACATTTTTGAGTAATTTCTAAAAATATAATGTTACAAAATCATTTTATTTGACTCATTCAACATAAAATTTCACTCTAAATTCTCTGCTACCTGGTCATACTGTTAATACCCAGACTACTTTAGTTTTAATAATAGTAGTAATAAATTAATCTTGGCAACCCCGCTCATTATCCAGAAAAGAAATGTCAAATATTAAAATTTTCAAGTTTTAGGTTAAATTTAATAAAAAAACTCGTTTCCTTATTTTCAAAAAGTATTTAATTAAAATATATAATTGATTTATACTTTTTTTTCCTATTTCCAAACCTAAGGTGAGTTAAAATCATACTTAATATCATTTAAATCAAAAAAATTAAGTAAAACTGGTTAAACAGTGTGTCCCTAAAGTCGAACGTAACCTAAACATTTTCAAAATAAATACTTTTCAAAGGTTTAAAAAAAATTAGAATTTCTCCACCCTATGTTTTGTTATTGATTGTATTTCCTGAATATTTCCCAAAACTTGGACTATAAATAAAGACTCAGAATGCATTATAAATTTTCAAGGTATTCGGTTTGCTCTTATATAAAATTTCATTACTAGAATTACCACATTAACACAAGTGAAAAATACAGCAATTGGCTAAGAATTATCGTAAATTTGCATATGTACATAACTTTATTATTACTTTTGCAGTAAATGCGTTTTTTCGTCGCCGGCAACATTGCAGTAATTAAAATTAATTGTATCTACAAATATTTTCCTATTCTTCAAACAAAACATTTTTCCTCGAGGAAATTACGAATCAAAAGAACAAGTTTTGTTGTTTACTAGTAAAATAATTTCTATAAATTACAATTTCGTCATGTTCAAAACAAAGATATAAATATTCAACATTGTTGATAAACAGTAAACCGACCTCCAAAATTGACGTAAATACATTTGGAAGACGATTTTAGCCAATAAACCCAACCAAATACCAGACATTCATTAAATTCACTTACCTATTACTAAAATACACACACAAACACTAAAACCTCTGTTTTCCATGCCTGTCAAAGACATGTATTTATTCCATCACTTAAAAGTCAAAATACAGTAAGCGGTCGTCGAAGCCGTTTAATTCTGTTTGAACCGAAAACAGACTTAAAGATAGTACATAATTTTAATGTGAGACGAACTTCTGATACTGTTTAAAATTTGTTTTTATAAATTACCACTTCCAGTCAAGAACTGGTCGTGACTGAATGATAGAATTAACTGCAGAAATGCAGAGTCGGATCTGGTCGGTGATCTGGAAAGTCCGATTAACGAGCATTGAGAATATACAGGGTCATTCTATATGGGCGGAACACTTGATTTATGGCTTAACTATAACTTGTACGATAATTTGACTTAGATAAAAGTTTTTGTACATTTTCTGTACTATTTATTGACGTTTACAGATTTCCCGCATACGTAATGGTTTTCAAGATATGACGTCATCGGGCAATATTTTAAATGGAACACCCTGTATTTATATTTTTTTTTCGAGTTCGTATGATCTGTCTAAATTCATCAATGGTACATTAAGTGGGTCCCAGATATAATAACAATTAAATTAGATTATACTTTAATAAGACACATTTATTTAAGGTAGATGTTCAAAATGAAAGCCCTCGGCTGCCTGGCAATATCCTAATCTATCAACAAATAATGATCTTAAACTATTTTGAATAGATTCAGGAGTTATTTCTTGAGTGGTCGCTCTGATTCGATCTTCCAGAGATTGAGGTAGATCCTTATAAACTACAGATTTTAAGTGACTCCAAAGAAAAATCCAGTGAATTTAAATCTGGTGACCGTGCCGGCCACTCAATACCTCTTCGGCCTATCCATCTCTGCGAAAATATTGTGTTGAGGTATTCCCTAACCCTAACATCGAAATGAGGTGGGGCGCCATCTTGCTGGAACCATATTTCCTCTGAAATGATTAGCACGATTGGGAAATATACGGATTAATTCTGGAACTATTTGTTCTAGCAGAAGTTGTAAATAGCGATCACCATTTAAAGTTTGTCTCAGAAAAAAGGTCCAATTATTCTTCCTCCAACTATACCAGCCCAAACGTTTACCTTTTGTGGATATTGTGTGTGACCTTCTATCATCCAGTGTGGATTCTGATCAGACCAATACCGGCCGATTGTCAAATCCGTTTAGACAAAACGTTGATTCGTCGGAAAACACAATATTATTTATAATATTGTTTCCATTAATTCGATCCATCATTTCTTGGCAAAACTGCATTCGTCGATCAGGATCATCTTCATTTAATTCTTGATGTAATTGAACTTTATACGGATGAAAATGATTTTTTATCAGTTTCTTCCTTACAGAACTCTGGCTAATATCATTATTTAATGCAAGTTTTGCTATGGAAGTTTTAGGTTCTTCATGAACATTTAGAAGTACATCAAGTGATTTCTCCTCATTTGTAGCTGTCCTCTTTCGTCCCCTACCAGGAATATTTTTGACACTACCTGTTTCGCTAAACTTGCGTAAATTTCGATACACTGTCGACTTAGACTAATCGGCAGCTTCTTATAAACCTCTCTTTCTATCTCCAAAACCAACCATCATCAACAGTGTAATTCTTTCACGTTTACTTAGTTCCATTGTTAGTAATAATAATGAAATACTTAATCTGTACACTAAAGATATTTGTATTTACTGTGATTTGATGTTAAGATTTTTTGTCAATAGATCATAATATTGCCAGGAAACAGAAAAAAAAAATATATAAATACAGGGTGATCCATTTATAATATTTAAAATGTGTCTTATTAAAGTATAATCTAATTTAATTGTTATTGATAAGATCGTAAGTCTGGGACCCACTTAATGTACCATTGATGAAATCAGACAGATCATACGAACTCGAAAAAAATATAAATACAGGGTTATCCATTTAAAATATTGCCCGATGACGTCATATCTTGAAAACCATTACGTATGCGGGAAATCTGGAAACGTCAATACATAGTACATAAAATGTACAAAAACTTTTATCTAAGTCAAATTATCGTACAAGTCATAATTAAGCCATAAATCAAGTGTTCCGCTCATATAGAATGACCCTGTATACAAGATAGTTTAAAATTCTTTGTAATGGTAATTTTTTGTTTTATTAGAAATAGTTATATTTCTATTTATCCGAAAAATCTGCCTGAACCCAAATCGAGCAAACTGTCATAAATTTTTTTACCTTATTTAGACATTATTAAAACACTTTAAATTATTTAGATGTGCCTACGACGTTTTTTAAACTACTAGCAATATTACATTTATGAAAATTAATTTACAATTGAAAATGTATGATTCATGAACTGCCAAACACATTTAACAGTTAACTTCTTATTGGTGTGTGTCTATAATTAACTCTTTCTAGAAGCTGTGGTTTCGTCCTTAAGTATGATGGTAATATAATAAATATACAGGGTGAATCCTAATGTGATACTTTTTTACTTTACTATCTGTATACAGATAAGGAAAGTATAAGAATCATGATTTTTTTCGACCTTGAGTTTTCGACGTTTTTTTACGTTTTGGAGGTCCCCTGAATCGTTTTGACTATTTTTGCGATGGTGTGTGTGTGTGTGTGTGTGTGTGTGTGTGTGTGTGTGTGTGTGTGTGTGTGTGTGTGTGTGTGTGTGTGTGTGTGTGTGTGTGTGTGTGTGTGTGTGTGTGGGTTTGTCGGGAAATCACTGTGTGGCCATGCACATAATTCATACTATAGTAGTGTGGCCATCCTGAATTGTGTGGCCATTTTTGGGACCCCACAAGTTAAAAGCAGCTTTAACGCATTCTACACGTTATGCTGATTCGAATGGTACCTACTTTAATACATTGTCCCCAAAAGTGATGTTATAGGTTGTGCCAAAATGTGTGCTAATCGATGAGACGAGAGCAAACATTGTGTGGACAAAGTAGTTGATCAGCAAGTGCTGCCCTCTTTAACCTCTTCATTCGGCGAACTATTTTACACGAATTATAACCTACCTTACGGGACAAGTGCAAATATTTAAAAGTTTTTAATATGTTATTTTATTATATGGTACAGCGCGATGTTGCCGCTTGTAACTATTGAATATTGAATAAGTGTCTTGCGTATTTGAATAATGCACGCGTCGGCCCAGATACTTTTATTTATTATACAGGGAACAGAGAGTCGAAAAGACGCTTCTAAAACATCGAACTGTGCACTCGAAGATATACTTCTAAAAAAATATGTACTACGTGGGGAATGACCCTGCGGATGCAAATTCAGAAGGCTCCGTTAAATTAGCAATTACAAAACAGAATAAAAATATATTTTTCGATTATTTTGATTTATCGTAAAAAACAATTTTTGGTGTTTAACTCGCGATTGTGATGCCGTTTTTCAATATGACTTAGACCTAAACATCGGTAAAAAATAACCATCAGGGTTTAAATTAATATTTATTTAGCCTAATAATTTATATCAACACTACACATTTGTATATACTAAAAACAACTACAAGAATATCGGTAAAGTTTTTTACCCAGAACTTCCCTCGATATAGAAATTGTTAAAACAAGGAGCTGATTAGCTGCTTTTAACATGGTCTAGTTACATAAACTAAATGAATGTTTCTTATTATTTCCATTCAAGGGAGCCCTTTTTCGATTAAATATAATTTTTTCAACGCCATTTTGAATTTTTAAAAACTTATTTAGGATCTGTTTCTTTGACTCTTAAAATACTCAGCAAACCAATTTTAGTCGAAATATGTCGACTTTGCTCCCCCTGTATATAACTGACAGAAAGTATAACCAGTTTTGAGACAAAAAGTAACCATACCGGCATACAAAATTTGAAGTTTTTCTATTAAGCCGTTTTTGAGCTATCGCGCCAACAGACAGACGACAGATAGACAGACCGACCGACGGAATGGGGAAACATGTTTTTCGCAATCTAGGGATCACGAAACGTGAAAATCTGAAATCTCAGATAGTGCCTTTTTCACGATTACAATACTTCCCTTATATCGAGGGACACAAAAATAATAATAATAATAATAATAATAATATTTCGGAGTACTTACGTTATAAACTATATAATGATAAAAAAATGTATAAACCCTATATGGGTAACTTAACTAACTAAATTTTAGTTTAAAGAACACCCACCCTCGCAATAACAACCTATTATAAAATCCAGCCCTGCTTTTAAACAACTATACAATTTCTAGTACATTTTTGAAGTTTGCATTTGCAGCACACATTTTCGAATTGTACATCGGGACGAACACTTATTGTGGTCAATTTTGGAACAAGTAAATTATTTTCTTTCAACGGGGATGAGAATTTCTGGATTTATTAAAATATTGCTCTTCAAGACAATCAATTGATACGCAGCTCTTATTATATGCTAATGAAATGCATCCTTAGTAGGCGGCAAATTCATTTACAGGTATGAAATAGACGAGCGCGTAATTTATTTAAATCACCTGTAAATAATGGCCTAACATACAAAATTTTGAAAAATATATAGCCAAAATTAATTAAATTCTGGCCAACATTTTCAGGGTACTTATAAGTGCTTTTAATTCACACTCTGACCTTCGACGAACGATGCGCGATGGAAAAAGGTTGCGGCCGACGCGCATAAGCATTTCACAAAAAAAATTGCTTCTCAGAAACCATAACCAATAGACAATTTTTGTTTTCACCAAAAACCACTCAATAAGAGATGTAAAAGAACACCAATCAGGTAGGTTGAATAAAAAAGATACCCGCTTCGGTGTGTTTTCGAAGACCCCACAATGTGGGTAATAGGTTTTGTTCATAGTTTCTTGTTCCCGACCGAAGGCGATCCTGTTTGCAATGGAAAACTGAAAGTAGGCTATAATAAAATAAAGCTGATGCGGTATCCCAACTGCAAGTTATAAAAATCAGAAATAGACAATAATTAACTAAATATAATAAAATTGAAACGTGTTAGGTTTCGACTAATTCTGTATTTTAAAAATATTACATGTTTCTTTTATTTTCAGGTAAATTAGAATTGATTTATTCTTTTAAATAATACATCACCCCCAGCTGTGGCATTATTTAAATTTTAAAAATATTACATGTTTCTTTTATTTTCAGGTAAATTAGAATTGATTTATTCTTTTAAATAATACATCACCCCCAGCTGTGGCATTATTTAAATAATCTAGTTACCTTATTCTTGGTTACTGCACCTATATCGTTTTATTGTTGAAAATAGAA